ATTTTAATAATATTTTATCGTGAGTACTTGTATTTCACCAGACCTTTTCGGTTTATGGCGTTTTTTCTGCTTTGCCTTGCAGGTTTATCCTCAACCCCGACCCACGAAGACCTGACTGCCAGTGTTTCCTCGCCAACCCGTGTCCCGTATCCCCGACGCCGTTCCCCGCCATCGTTCGTTGCAAAGCGAAAATACGAGCCGAGGGACATGCTGTCGCGCATATCCGTTCACTCCGCTGTGCTGCGAGAGCCCGAGTACGTTCGTATTACAAGAGAACCAGAGTGAATGTTCGACGAGGTTACCCTCATAAACAGACCCTGATTACCTACACCAGGGAACTCTGCTTGAAATCGAACTATAAGTGACATATGAAACACAAATGTGGATTTGGAATAGGGTCAACTATGTTCCTTGCTCCAGGGTCTCTATTTTTCACGGATCATTATGTCGATGTTATGGGTAATCAAAATGCTCAACGGCCACTTCAAAGGAGCTAACACCCCTCAGTGTCCAGAAACCTGCAAGATTCATCCTTTTCTCCCTACTCCTTGAAACTCCTTGTAACCCAAAAGTGAGTGATTTAGCCCCGTATGCTAACTTCCCGATTCAACCTGGGCAGTTGACAATCAGAAAGGCTTCCGTACTCTTCGTGATAATAAGAGAAAACATTTCACTTTCACACTAGGTCGCATAACTCCTATAAATAGCATAGAACACCGATAAATTATATGAGACCAATAAGAATTTATCCTCGTTCTCCTTTTTTCCTTTCCCGCCTAATATTCATTAAGCGTTATTTACTCCTAAATTGAATATTGTCACGTGACTTTGCTCAAACCATTTGTCACCCTGGATTTATCGAAGGATACGGTTCCCCACCACACAGACAGAGACGTTGAGCTTCGGAATCCGACCGCCTATCGACTGTTTTCACTCCTGAATATGCGCCAGCAATAAAGCAGTATACGATCTAAAAGTAATGTTTCGATCCGGCCTCTATCGCATACGTTGTCAAACACCGTATCATAGCACCTATGGATTATTCGTTAACTTCAAAAATTGCCCAATGGTAAAATACCATTATCTCGTTCACTGATGATTTGCTAAATGCTTTTTATTATTATGATTCATTGATTTAACGAAAACATTTAAGGTCTGAAACTATAACCAGGAGTGAGTTATTCAATATTAATACTACACGTATTCAATCCCCAACTGAAAAATGTTATCGATCATGTTCAATCAGAGCAAGAGACAGCAGTGTTTTGCGGTACATCAATCATAATGCGTCATTCGACCGTCGAAATTGATCTCCACAAGAATATGGTGACTGCCCTTGGTAATTTGAAGGATGACCAGGAGTGATAAAGGCCAGGTGGTTACCATTTCATACAGGTTTCTTACAGTTGCATTTCGCATGTGTCCACTTGCTTTCTGGTCAGTAGCGTTTAACCACCGATAGAGAGACAAAGGTATGAATGTGGTGTCTGAGTGGCTAGGAGAGTCACGAAACCAATTGAGTACCAACAGTTCAATTTGTCTAGCAACTAATCATCAGGAAAGACTACCTTTTTTGAGAGCAGTCGGAAGCAAGTCGTTTGGATTTGGTTCCACACTGTAAAATATATCTTGACATTCGGTTCAAGTTAGAATTCTGAAAAATCAGTTGTTTGAACCTAAGGAGCCAGAAGAGATTTACTATTTCTAAACATTACATACAAACACTAGCCTTTGGCGTACAATGAGGTAAGTTATTTTATGACTCAAATTCGACTTGATAAATTTGGGTTAGTTCACGCTGAAACTGGGTGGCAAAAGCTAATTTAGAATGAAAGTGGTGCGCAAGAACAATGGACAGCAGTGTAACCAACTGAATAGTTCCAAATGATACATACTCAGTATAATTGTGGAAGTGATAACTCTTGAGATAAAACAAAACGTTTTTTATGTTTTTTGCAATGAATGCGATGGAAGAGAAGAAAGAATGTCGGGGAATAGATGGAAAATAGAAGGTATAACCATATAAACATTGCGTGGAAAAGTCATAGTAACTTCAAACTGCCATGGACTTCTCTTTGGGATAGCAAGCATGATTACAGTTGTCCTTTTAAAGTACGATTGTCAAACCTAAGCAATATAAGTCACCTTTGACATTTTGTTCAAGATCATAAATAATACCTTGACAGCATCGTATAACTAACGCCGTAAATGATACTGCTAATGCTACTTTTAAAAGTCTCAGAGGGCTAGCTCAGAGTCCAATGTTTTCCGTTCATGAGGTTGGCTAAGATTTTGTATTCATGAGATTTAAATGAGATAACATAGACAAAATTTCCAGCAGATCGTAAATTAATTTACGTTTTTGATCAACCTTGTGGATAGTCCTGGTTTGCCAACTGTTTTACTCCATTATTTGCAAGCATTTGAAGGAGCTAGAAAATCTGCAAAATTTCGATAATTTTTATTCTCTATGATCAGTGCAATTTTGTTCACATCAGCTTCATTTTGTGAATAGCTGCCCTCGTTTTGCTTCTTTATTGTCACCCAGCTGAAAGGGCAAACTTGTGAAAGAGTCATTGTTGGAGTGCGGAATCAGCAATAAATGCTAAAGCGTATGATTGAACCATTTATGGGCTGCAAGCGACCTTATTTATTTTGTGCCCCCCCCCCCCGGAGTTTTAAACGGAGCTCTGAGGATTGAATTAAAAGGTTAGCTTGTTCAACATTATTGTGCTTCCAAGGCATGATGTGGTTTCATGTGTATCCCCAAACGGGATCACGCTCCGGATACTGCCAGTTTACAATGCATCTTCAACGGACAAACTCTGTGCTAACTTTTGCACATTATTCTTTTCCAAAGCACGGCTTTTTCCGTAATGACAAATCAAACCCGGAATAACCTCTCCAGGTAACTTAGCAGTAGATATATCTTTAAACAAAATATTATTTGCAACTAGCTGAACAGGGAAGATTTAAGCTGGTATCACGTTTGTTTTTATCTCTTTGTCCTTAAAATAAAACAAAATCCTAGTGTTTATTTGGCAATGCAGCCAAAAATACCATGGTAATCCAAATGATTAGATTAATCTTAGTGGTTTGTGGTAGCCTCTAACGTTTCATTCGTTTAACACGCCTTTGCTATACATTTTTGACGACGTATACCTCCACTGTCATCTAAAACCTAGCATTGCAGATAACCCATAAAGGCCTTAAGTGATTTCGGCACTCCAAAATTCATTACTTTCATCGATCATTGCTGGAGTAAAACAAAAGGAAACCTCCTGGATATGGTTTTAATCATTCTGCATCTACTGAACAGAAGTGTGCAATAAAGCAAACACCTATAAACACAAAACATTACTTGAAAGAGATTGTATTTGACGTCCGTTGGTGCGCATTTATGGGCGAAGGAACCGGAAAAATAATATCTTCTAAATACGAAAATTTGTCCAAATTTGAGCCACCAAGCAAAATCCAGTCTTCAAGCTTTGAGTTGAATGACTGGTGAATAGAATTAACTCAGCCCACAAACACATCACTTTATCCGCTGCTTGAGAATCTGTTTCTTTACCTTGAATAATATAATTAATCTTATGCATAAAAATGGAATTGTCTATCTGAAAATTAACTAAACCAAACCGAACTGCTCCTTTAATACCCAGCTCCCAAGACTAAGGATTGATTCTGTTTGACAAATTGCACACTCCTTTAAACCTCCTCAGCAAGTGAATTTTATAACTCCAAGAGTCGTTTTTTGTAGGTCTGCAAATATGCATGGGCACGTACGACGAACATGGTATCTATATAAATGCCTTTTGCGTTTGTGACATGAGCATCTAGTGCCTAAATAACATGGCTCAACTACATAGGTTTGTTTCTTTTCTAGCGCCAACAAAGCGGGAATATATGATCAGCGTCAAGAGACAGTCATAGAATTCTCAGGTAACCAAATGATAGTAAGTGAACTATTACGGCTCATTCAACGTCTAAAACAAAAACCTTGGAGACTGAAAATCCTAATACATCTCGAAAAAGGGCTTGATTGAATTTGTCGAGCAATAACTAGTCAGATGAGAAACAGGGACTTTCAAATAGGTGAGTGTGAATTTGGAGCACGACATACTTCATGGCATCCCACGCGAACGAGAGTGGATATCTTTGTGAACCCTGATCTGAACCTGTTACTCAAAAGTGTGACCCCTGTGGCATTAGGCATTAATTGAACTTCGGACGTAATAAGCCGTGCGGTGAGACATGTGATTTCACATTTTGGTTGAAACTACGCGTGAGAAACTTACCAAATGAATAGTCCAATCTTGTTAGATCCCTCATAGACCAAAATTCCAGTTGGAGTTAGCCCCAGTTTGTACTCCTCTTTATTTTTGCCCTACAAAGTAAAACAAAAAGTCCAAAAACAATGATATATCTCATGGATTATTTTATTTGTTTCCTCCAAGTTCACCTTTTTTAGTTAACCACTAGGCTTTTGGTCTAAACGATTAGATCCTTATCACAAAGGTAGTAATATTCTTCTACTGAAGAACTTATTTTTCACGATCGACAATAACTATACCTTAGATTGCATAGAATAGGAATACTTTAAGCTAAAAGTAGATTTTGGGCTACAACTGCGAATTCGTCAAAATAGGTGTCCTACCCTCTGTCCTCAATACAAAGATCTGACTGAAAAAGAAAAACATACTCACCTTGACCGTGTGCATGTCCACACCGTAGTCCGGCAGTAATCGAGCTTTTTCCAAATAAAGAGATTCTGCTGCAGCTGGAGTTAGTCTTCGATTGCTTTAATGTGTAAAAAAATTTCGAGCATGGATTTATAATATTTTGTTGATTCCATTCTCAAGCAGGTAAAATCACATTTATACAAGACACTAGCAACGAGGTAATTTGCTAGAGAGAGAAAAATATGTATGTAGCTATCTATTATCATTTTCTTGAAATTAAGAAGTGTACATTTTACCAATAAACTTGTAATCTGAAAGTGCAATTCAATTTTGTAATAGTATGTATTTTAATGATACACACTATTAGTATTTTCAGTAGTACATTATAGTAATTTATTCTGTTTAAATAACTTATCATGTCATAGCAAAGGAGTACATTCGATTCAAAATAATGGAGTTGTGATTCTGATTATTCCATTCAAGTAGATTATATTTCAGTATGGCTAATATTTTATCTATGGAGCAAATCAGATATAAATGACAGTATTTTCTCTCTGATATTGCACTAATCTGGACTTGCTTTTACTATAACTGATTGATGTAATCAACAGATTTTCATCAGTATTTTGTACAAATATCAGTGATTAGTCTCTTAATAGGCGGAATGAGAAAATATTGACCTTTTATTGCAAGCTTAATTAACCAGTTAATAAGCGATAAAATAAAAATTCTGCGCAAACAAGAGCTGGATAGCTGCCAAAACTGTTTGACTGTTTCAACCGCGATGAATATCTACATCTAGATGCAAACCAACTGCGTGACTCATTAATAGAGCTCATTTGATTAGAATATATCAGTTCTTTTTTGCTTGATGATTCCATTTTTGAGCCACGTTCACCATGATTTTTGCACCATCAAAGTGTAAAATGTGATTACAGCAGGGGGTAGATCCAGCCCATGTAGAGAAAGAAATAAAAAGGGAAACATTCAACCCCATGGGTAGCTAGAATTGACCCTAGATGGACGAATCTCGTATTGTTTTGATTTGTATTGCGTATATTGTTTTGGCACGAAAATGAGGGGATAAATTAGGTTCCAAATTCAATACATCTGTAGCAAGGTAACAACATTCCACTGTTTACGTAGGATCCTACGTACGCTGCAGCAGTTTGCATGATGCTACTCTATGATGCAGAGACTTATTGGTTACGTAAAGAGGATAAAAACAGACTATCGGTATCCTTGCCTTATTATGGCATTCTAGTGTGACAAATGGATAGCCAATGCCAAGCTTTAGCACAGAACTTTAAGTGTACTGGGTGGGACATCAAAGCGACTATTCAACTTTACGGTAAAAACATCTCATCGGATGGGTTTCCCGGACGCAGATAGAAGGTGAAAGAAGATTCCACTTGGTTTAAATAAAACCCAGCATAACATTTGAAAAAAAACCTTTTTCGGAGCTCTTGGTCATGTAGACACGGAGACGCTGAGGTGCTACTGAGTGGCGTAATCAGTGCTACTTAGTAACCTACTTAACTTCTGTCTAAAGTTAGTTTAATTCCTTGTATTAGCTTTGTTTTGATTTACTTGTTCGTCCGTATTCAACCGAATAAATAACGAAAAGGAGGAACTTTCACATTACAGCACAAAACAATTCTTGCGAAAGTGAAGTATTTATGTACAATATCTCAGGGTAACTAACTGCCATGAATTTCAAAGTATGGAGAAAACTGATGGCTATCAGAATGGATATCATATATTACTGTAATTCCATACGACCCAATCTCACTTTCATGTTATATTGAATCAATTAAATAATAATAATGCTGACAAACTTCGTTGAAAACGCTTACTAAAAATTAAAAAAAATTATGACGTCCTTTTCACCATTCCCTTAAGAACATTTAGTTTTTGAGGCTTTCCAATGTGTATGTAATAAGTCAAATGCATACTAATGTAAACAATATTTGTCAGCTTTGCATTTCTTAAATCCTTCATCTATGCCCATTCAAAATATTTTCTCTACATGCATCCTTGTGTTGTGTGCATCAGCTTGTGGCACAGTTTTATAAACCAAAACGTTGTTTCGTCATTATGTGATAATTAATCACAAACCTGAGTGCTCTGTATTGATATAACACAGCTAACTCAAAATCCTCTGTTTGCTTTTCATCCGGTAGAAAACGAAAAGTGGAAACGAATACAGGTGTATGCTGAGATGGATCATAGTCACCAAATTCAGCTGTAAAAGAAGAAAAATAAAAGATAAAAATAAATCAATCCCCGCTTCAGTTCGATGTTGCAAATGTTATACATAATTAAATAGTTGAGATGAACTCAAATATAGTGAAGGAAATGTTTAACTTAACAATTTAAAAATACTCACGGAATACGGGGTTCTATGCGAGCAGTGGAGTTTTTGTACCATCTTGTAATATGTATAAAACTTTGTTAGAATGCATTAAATATGACAAAACAACTCTCCACTGCAAAATTGTTCGCAGTAGACCAAAAACTCATTATCTAGATTTCAATTGAAAAATAATTCAGGAAAACTTTGAATATTAGTCCAATATTTTTTGTCAAATGCGTATTGCCGAATTTCTTATGAAAATTTTGACTAAAAAAGTACGTATTCAAAATTATTATATGAAAAATCAGTATGTAAGCCAGCTATTAAACCAACCTTGAAGAAGTAAAGCCGCCAGTTCAGCCGCCAATTGCAAATCTTCACATGGTAACTTTCCTGATCGTATATCTTCACGAAGCTGTAGAACAACCAAATATCTTGTGTACTCATCTCTCAGATTTTGAGGATCTGATGCAAAAAACTTGACTTTCAGAGCAATAGGATATGGAGAATAAGCTGAAAAGTAGAAGTTTGTGTAGAATAATTCCTGCTCAAATGAGTTTTGCTATATTATGCTTTCACCAATTTCATCAACAAGAAAAGCTCGTTATCGTATCCCCAGGTGCTTCAATATCACAGCTATCAAGTACTAAGAATATAATGTTTTATTAAAGCATTAGAGACAAAACTCAGTTTCTCTTACTCACTCTACTACATTACACGCATCATTACCACCACTTGACGTTTTCTCTCCTGTGTAAGTTTCATTTCTTTTTCTATTATTTAGATAGTTCGTAAAATTTTGAAATCTCCTTTGTGTATGATCATCATATTTTAACGGGAATATTTCAACAGGAAGAATGATAATTTTCATATCCGAGACAGTCACCGAGGCTTAGTTAAAAGGTTGCGCTCGGGTGATTTAGGTAACTCTCAAGCGACTCAGCGGTGAATGTCGTGCCGCATTGGTATATTTGGTCATATGCAACCGATGTTCAAGGACCAGATATACAAAATTCGGAACTAACGTTATCAACGTAGTTAATATTTATTACGATTTATTTAATTATATTGTCTTATTGCTTTCATTTATGAATCCTTGGTATTGTATGACACAAAATGAACGTGAAAAATGAAATCTGGTAAACATTTCAGTACACGATCGCCGCATGCACAATCTGTCTCCAGAGCGACTCAAATGCATCCAGACCTTGATGGAAGGATGAATATACCTTTGATACCTTGTAAAAACGCAACTGGGATGTCCGGAATAGAACGTGGCTATATTATTACAGCCAGGAAGAATCGTGGCCTTTCTAAGCGGGTATCCCCAAGGGGACACTCAAAGGACGGTCGAGTGTCCCCTGGTGCTGCCTGGGTTTGTAGCTTAAGTGATATATATATCCTTTGCATGAAACGTGCATCAGCAGGCGTTGTCATTGTAATGAAGTCACTGAAAGCACATAGGGTGAGGTTACCTGAGGGAGTGGTCAACTGCACCAATGTGTACAACTTCAAGGGGGCACTGGATGCATGTTGGCCGGCAATGTTCCCCGAGGTTAGGTGGTAATGTATCGTCACTAAGAGCCAGATAAGTTGCAGACCCCAACTATAGAACTGGGTCTTTTACTTGTGCGTGAAACTGGTATGTTTCAGAAAACTAAGGTCCCTCACGGATGAGGCGAGAAGACATCTCTTCTGTTTTCTCTTTTCCAGCTCCACTGAGAAACCCTTGGAAAAGAAACCCAGAAAACGCAGTGTTTGGAGCAAAGAACACCCGCCGACAACATAATAACCTGAAGGCTCGATTTGCAAGAGCCATTATTCGTCCTGTGAAGACTGGACTGAAATAATTTTTAATGTCCTGAGCCACTGAAAACGCGCATTAGTTTATGCATATAATAATCTGATGACATTACAAAACTATACCGCAGGAAACTAACCTTTGCACTGATCACGAATTTCTTTCGTCGGATCTAACCAGATCTGTGGAAGTAACGTGCGTTTATTAGAAAAACCTACACAATATTTTCCGTAATACTTTAGTCCAAAATAATCTTTTTCCTCGTTGATTCCAACATAAGCAAATGCAATGTCATAAAGATCTTTGGCCTGTGCTTTTTTCTAAATTTCAATAATAATTAACTTTGATTTTAACTTACAGGTAGGAAGAATGTCTGCTCTGTGCCATCTAAATAAGTAACTCTACATTCCAAATCCGATTTTTTCTTTTTCTTCGTTTTTGTGTCGACCATATCATCCTCCACGTGACTTGGTGCAGGTGCGTTCTTTTTGCGCCCAAACCGACGACTGAAAAAGCGTAAAATAGCGGCCATGCGGAGTTGACAGCTTCCACTTTGAAATCCCGGTGTTATTCGACCTTGAAAGATTCCAATTTCAGTTCAGTTCATTTTAGTTCAGTTCAGTTCAGTTTGCACAGGACGATGTGTGGCCCGGGTCAATCTTGCGTCCAGATTGAT